GCCACAAACCACAAGTGAGCAAGCACACACACGCACACACACACACACACACACACACACACACACACACACCCTCCCCCTTCACACACTTCCACCAAAGTGGATCGAGGCTGCAGAATAGTGAATAGATAGCAGACATAAAACAGAGTCTAAACCAATTACAGAGAGTGTTGGAGAGAAGAAAGGAGGTGCGTGAGTGTGTGTGCGTGTGTGTGTGCGTGTGCGAACAAATGTACCTCCTGAGTGGAGAGCACTTTTCTTATCGATAATCCATCTTTGGACGCGGAGCCATTTTGTGGCTCCATACATAGTTGCCATTGTTTATCTATTTCTAATAGTTCCTAGTTGTTATATTTTCTGCTAATATCTAGATTATTAGCCATCTTTGTGCAGTGCATACTTTGCCATATTAAAATATAAAGATTGAGTCCCTTTCCTCTGTGTTGCTATAGATCATATTGACATAAAAATATTTCACTGCCACATAATAATTAATGTAGAACTTACTGTAATGTTCAGAATTAGATGATAGTTTTGAACATTTTATATCTCCTGAATGGTTAGGGATACTCAATTGATCTACCCTAGAGTGGTAACAAAATAGTTTTCTCACCTTACCTCTTTTTTATTCTCTTTTGCACACTTGTACTACTTTAATTTATTTCGGACCTAATTAAATTAGTTAAATGTGAATTCAGACGTAAAACAACTCAAAAACAACTCAACTAAAAAAGTGACTTCATTGGTCAAAGCAGGTTGCTTCAGGTACAGCAGTGTTGTTAAAGTAATGAATACCTGACCACAGGGGTGCGCCTCACATGGACGTTAACCCCCCTGTGAATAATCGAGAACATGCGTCACATTTTCTGACATCAGAGTCAGAACATGTGGCCCTTCTGTACCTGGAAGTATAAAGGTCTTTCTCTCTCTTACTCTTTACAGACAGAAGATAACATTAACAACAGGGGGCTCTGTGATCTCATGTTACAAAATATTTGATTGGCCAGTGCTGCAGTTTTTCGCTAAATCCCACTCCATCAAAGCAGTGGCCACATTGAAATTGATATCTTGTGGATCTATTTATAGGATACAGTCAGCAAGGAAGAAAAGAATAGTTTGATTAAACTTTTTGGCAATTTTACTCTTCATATAAAGCTGTATGATGTTGCTGTTTGGAATTGGATAGGTTTAATCTGGCAATCCTACAAACTAACTCAATACATTCTACGTTTTAACCATAATATTGATAATATAACAGAGAGTGTACTAGGGCTGCACAACTAATCACAATTTTATCAAAATCGCAATATGACTAAGTCCTTTATCCAAATTGCAGAAGCTGCAATCTGCAGTGATAAAAGTCAAATGTGTGACAAAACAGCTTTATAATGAAGTACTGAAGGGCTGCAGAGCCCTGACCTACACATCTTCAAGTATGACCATCCAGCACTCACCGTGAAATTGAACTGAAAAAAAGTGACTTTTGGCTTGACTGTTAGCACACAAACATTTGATTAATAGCTACTGCTATGAGTTTTAGCAACATCCAGTGGCTGTTTTATGTAATTTTTTTCTTGGTTATAAGTTGTATACAGCAGAGATTTGCTCTGATAGATGTGTGTTATATTACTAGTTACAGATTGCCACAAATTACATGCTTCTTGTACGCATGTGTTCATCCCTGTGGTGCTTTGCTGCAGCTCAGTATGGAAGCCGTGTTCTGCCAGTAAAATAATAAGAATATGATGCAAACTTAGCCGTGATAATAAGAAAATGTAAATGTAATGTAAAGTCCAAATTATGAGCGACAAAAGTTGAAATTATAAGATAAAATGCTTTTTTAATTATAATTATGATAAATCATATCACCTTTTATCTCATAATTCTGACTTAACTGAATTATTTTAATACCAAGGCTCAAGTTTTCACAATTTCTTTTATTTTACTGCACAAAAGGGTTTCTTTTTGTCTCTTACTGCAGTTGCATTTTTTCAGCACACTGTTCTCTGCCTACAGAAAACCACAGCTCCACTCATCCCCAATGAGCACACACCTGATGATGCCAAGCCGAGCATTGCTGCCTCAGCAGAGAAGAGCCCCTCCCCCAAAGAGGAGCACCCTTCTGCTCCAAAAGTCCCGCCTCTGGCCTCGCCCGAGACGGATGCAGAGGCATCCCTCGCCAAGGACAAGACCCATTAGCTGCATGAGGGGGCGGCTCTTGTCGTAGCTACTCCTCCGGCATCCTGTCTGGTCAGGAAACATTAATAATCAACGACTGATTACTGTGCGGGTGACTCGTTATTCTCCTGCCCTACATTCCACCAGAAGAGGAGAGCGTCTGCGGCAGCTCCTCCTCCTCTCTCCTCTCCTCACCAGTAGCTGCAGAGCTGTTTGACTGACACTGACTCCTGCAGGAGGTGGAGTGATTTAATGGAAAGTCAGCAGCTTCCTCTGTCTCCTGAACACTGCATGGAAAAGACACACAGGGGGAGAAGCTTCTCTGAGAACTGCAGAGAAAAAAAAACACTCTCCAAGCGTTTGACATCCCCGCAGGTCACCTGTGGGCTGCTCTGATTGTCAGGACTACTTTTGTCCTTTATTTAAAATTAAGTAATGACATTTATTGTGAGAGGCCAGTTCAAATATACTCCTTGCAAGTGTCTGGCAAAGACAATATTACTTCTAGACATGTATAAAACTTCATACATACAGTCAGTTTTCTGTCGTGTGCACATTACATGCCCTATGCAAACCATGAGAAGGCTGGACAAGCAGCTTTTTTGACGAGTGAAGGTTTACAGCTGTTAAGTCTGTGAGTACATAATGTCCAGGCAGGGGGAGGACGTGTAAATCCTTAGCTGAGATATCCTAAAGGCTCCTTCCAGGCAAGTCAAAATCTACCTTGTATTCTGATATTGCTGCATTCAGTACTGTTGTTACCTATGTGCATCTTTTTTTTTTAAAGTGATCTGATCCAGACCAACGCCTGTCCTTCCATTTTTATATAATCAAGGATGTAGTGTGACGTCGGTGCTCTAAAATAGACAATATTGCTTTCCGTACAGTTGAAGTCTTGTATCCAGGAGACGCTTTGCCAGTGTCCCGGTGTGTGTGTGTGAGAAAAGGCCTGACTTTTGATGATAGTAGACACTAGTAGAAACAGTGCCTTATCACAACAGTTGCAATTATCAAATGCACCTGAGGTCAACTAACCAACAGAGAAGCCCTTGAAATCCGTTGTAACCACTGATTCAGTGTTAAATGAGAAATGCCAACGAATATACACTAATTAGTTCAATAGTTCCCAACCTGGGATTTGGGGCAGCTAGCCTGGCTCTATCAGCACTTCTAAAGCTAATTAATATGCTATATCACCTTTTTGATTATTGTGTACAAAAACATTTTGTGTTTTTGCAGCTCTCTTTCTTGACTTCCTGTAGTTTTTACTTAATAGATATAATATTTAGTGGGTTTTAGAGGTGGACAGTGCCAGGCTAGCAGTTTCCCCCCTGATTTCCAGGATTAATGCTAAGCTAAACTAGTGACCAGCTGCAGACTGTAGCTTCATATTATAGCATACAGACATGAGAGTAGTATCTTCTCATCTAACTCTCAGGAAGAAAGCAAATAAAACGTGTATTTTCCAAAATGTCAAGAATTCCTTTTAAAAGGAAAGTAGAAAAAGCATATTTGTAATACTACACATGCTTTTCTGTTATGAAATACTGTGAATTTTCTCCTATAAATGATTAGAAGAGAAAATCTGAGAAGGAAAATAATGGTAGAAATACGCGTTTTAAAGGGTTAAAGGTTGGGAACCATTGAATTAGATCTCAAGAAGCAAAAACTAAGCAAAGCCATTGTTGAATTGTACATAATTTTAGCAGGTCAAGATGTACTGAAAACCTCTCAGCTGATTGCTGAGGAGGAAAGATTGCAGAAGGTTTTGTTTTGTTTACTGTGATGTCTCCGAGCTTGAGCACCTCCTCCTGGAAATCACACCAGAGTTGATCTTCCTCTGAGTCCCCTCTCTTCCTGCCGTCTTCTGCCTCTGTAAAAAGAAAACGTCTCTCATATTTAACTCCTCTTCTTCTTCTCCTTGCATCTTTGCCGTGGTAGTTATTCCTACAGTACGCCCAAGGCCGAGGCCGCTTCCACTGCAGCCGTCTGTGGCAGGCTTATTATCTCAGAGAATACAGCCAACGCAGAGAGAGAAAGACGCTCAGTCCTTTGGTTTTACACATCTGCGTATTTCAGTCAGAGCACAGCCTGTAATGTGGCTTGAGGATTTATTTTGTTTTGGTCACAGATCACTTGAGGGGACAGCCACACAAAGAGAATAATGAGAGAAAGTAAAGCTTATTCTTAGTATTTAAATGATGTTAGCTGATAGCGAGAGTTTGTAATAGTGATTGTGTTGTATGCAAGGCAGAGTTAGTGTTTGTGAAATATACTTGTGTAGAAATCCTAGTGTGTCAACAGCATTGTATCAGACTCTGAAATCTGCCGAGATTATTTATTGTAAGCCTTGAAATGGTCACAATTTCTCCCAATCTCTTAATTTCTCCTTTCAATCCAAAAATATTTGCCAAACAAAGAGTGGAAAATGAATTTTAGGATACTGGGATGTTGGCAGTTATTATTATTATTATTATTATTATTATTATTATTATTATTATATGATTATTTCCATTGTACCATGGAGTAATTAAAATCTCAAGACTGACACTCATAAAAGATGAATCCAGGCCTGCGACCAACAATGTAATTAATTATTGATTCATTAATTCTATATAATGTCAGGAAAAACATATTCAATTTACTATCAGTAAATATGTATGTTTGAAAAGCTGGAACTAGAAAATTTGATGTATTTTTTTCTTTAAGAAATTTCAAACAAATAACCGAAAATTGTTGACAATCAATTTTCTGTTGCTCGACTAATCAATGAATCCACTAATAGTTTGAGCTGTATTTATTAATCCTTTCATCTGTGTTTACTTTCTCTACACTCTGAAGGGAAAAGGAGAGATAAGCGGCACATCTTCGTTGGAAGAAGCTGTAAAGTTTGTGACAGAATTGTTTCTGTGAGGTTAAAAAAAGTGTAACTGCCGAGTATTTGTTTGGGAAACTTTCTGTTGAGAAGTACGAAACCCGAGACCCAGTTTTTAAATCTGAACTTAGTGGGGTTTCTTTGTGGAAGGTGTTTAACGACAGCCTGGTGTATTTGATCACTTTGCGTTGCTGTCACCGAGGAGCAAGAATGTATGCGATTGATATTCGATAACAGAAGGGACGTTTGTGTTGAAATCCTGTAACAGTTTCAAAGCAGACTTTAAAGTGAAGGTTGAACTTTTATTTTTTAGCTCTAATTGTTTGCAGACGAGCTGAGCTCTTGTGTGTATGATTCCTGTGTTAAAATGCCATGACCTGATCAGACCTGAATGCTCTGATCAATCTATTACATTGCATTATGTATACAGATACAGTACTATACCATTGATGGAACTGTTTATTTATGTTCACTTTGTTTAGTATCAACACTGTGACTCAATGTATTTCATTCGATTTACTTCACTTCTTTTTACATGATCAATGTGTCTGGTAAATAAACAATATTGTCTTATTATTTGTCTTTTAAAAGAGGTTTTCTTTCAAAAGAACACAGAGGAGCCGAGCTGAGCTGTGTACACCCATTTTATCAACTCTTATTAAATATTCAACAAAGGGCTTGTTCTGTATTCAGGTTTATTTGTGCCCCTGGATAATTACAAACTGAAGTACAAATTCAATTTTCTCTAGAGGTCCTCTTTCAGAATAATGGCTCTATATATAATGGCTGTATGCAGCAGTAATTCTGGGATCTTACAAAAGAGGCTGGATGAAACAATACTCCTGGCCCGACACTAATCCACACCTTCATCTGTGTTTTTTTGGTGGGTCACCGCTTTGTTTCAAGGTCCAGTGTGTAACATTTAGGAGGATCTATTAGCAGAAATGGAATATAATATTTATAGGTGTGTTTTCATTAGTATTTAATCACCTGAATATAGGAACTGTTGTGTTTTGGTTACCTTAGAAAGAGCTGTTTTGGGGAGCGGATCCTCTTCTATGGATTCACGCTGAACTGTCATGTTTCTACAGTAGCGCAGAATGGACAAACCAAACAGTGGCTGTAGACAGGACCGCTGTTGTTTCTCCTTTGCTTCGTTACGTCAGTGGGGTTCAATTGGTTGCAATCTGTAATCTCTCGCCTAAATGCGACTAAACAATTTAATTTTCAGTAAAATTTGGTGCATCCATTGTGCCAAATAAATTGGTGATCCCTTCACATCCCATTTTCCACTAAATACCCGCAGAACCAATGATCAGCCTCAGCTGTACATTGTTTTCAGTGCTAATTAGCTAATGTCAGCAAGCTAACCTAAGATGGTAAACATGGTAAACATTACGTTGTTTAAAATCAGCTGAAACCTCTGGAAGGAGCTAGTAAGTGGACCTTGAGTTGAGATTATTTAGTCAATTTCTTTACTATTAGTTATCCAGGATTCATAATAATATTTAGTTCACATTATCAATAACATCTCAGTCAATTATTTTATTCAAGTTCTATTTACAGCAGTTCACAATTTCCTAAGAAATAACATGAGACATAAATCAGTATAATAACGGCAAAAGTAAAAGAAAACTACTTAGTTACATTTGAAGTTACACGAAAACACTGAGAGAATATTTTACATTCATATATTTGTATCAGATGGCACAACATGAAAATATTTAAGGCAGTATGATAAAGAAGAGAGGAAACATTTGAATGCTTCATCGGTCTTGTACATGATGTCATCAGAAACAACAACAACAACAACCACAACATCATACAGTATAACACGTTCATTCAAACCCAGCTGTGGCAGATGGAGAAAAAGTTGTGCTGCTCGCTCAACAGTGCAAGCAAATTGAGACCCTCATGTTCACACAGTATTTCAACCTAACAATGTGTTCCTACCACGAGTCCACTCCCTTATGATGAAGAGTTCAAAGGCACTTGAACCTCCATCCACAGAGTCCCTGAGAACCAGGAATAAAAGAAGTTTGAGTATTTTTTTTCTCCACCACTTCTCAAGATCCTTCGTCCACCGTCAGCTCCTGCAGCTGCTCCTGCACAGCTTCCAGCTGCTCTGTTTGGTCTTCCTCTTGCTGTTCTGTTTCCTCCTGGTTTGTCTGATCCTCTGACGCTTCATCCTGGAGTTCTTCCTCCATCTTTGGCTCCTCACGTCCGTTCTCCAGGTTCTCTGAGCTCTCGAAACAGCCTGAATCCCTCGGCTCCTTGGCGTCCTCCACAGATCTGTCCTCCTCTTCTGGCTCGGACTCGTCTTCAGCTACACGGGGAAAAGAGAATCACATTTTAATACAGAAAGAATCAATACAATCCTTTTTTTAGATTCGTCCTGTACTCTGAGAGGTCCTTTTATCTTATTCAGCTTCAGAGAGACACTTTAGAGTTAGTTTGTGTGAACTGGGAACAAATACAAAAGCACCAATCCTGTAGAAAAGTTCAAAATACCGCCTATTTAGTTTTTGTGGACTTAATGTGAAGTAATATTATTGTATAGGGGACACTGGGACAAGTTGGCTGCAGGTGTTGGTTGCCACACTAGAGGGCGCTGTAACATGATCTTCCAATCAAATGTGCCTCCACATGTGGTCTCCTGATCAAAGCTGAGGTTAATTTTTGTTAATTTTTCATAAATCAAAGTGCATTTTCATCTTAACAATAAAAACGAGTGTATTAATTAGCCATTATTCAGTTAGGGGTTAACTCCACTCTGATCTTAGTTTTATGTTTCCACATTGTGGTAGTTGCTATAAAGCTAGCTGAACAGGTTGAATTGTTTTGGCTTCCTCTGTGTTTTTGAGGGCAGGTCGAATCCAGGAAAAGAATTAAAAGGTTGACTTTTAAAATTCAGCAATGCAGTGATGGTGAGGGAAGTATTAATCTTTAGATTAACTGCAGTTAGTCCTTATATCATGCTATGATTGGATTTAAATTCACTCCAACTCGGAAAATAATTAGTAAGAGAGACAATAATCAAATATCAATATCTCATCAAAACAAGAGTCAAGAATAAAATAAAATCATCATAAAAATAGAATAATATTTATAGATTGTAGAAGTATCTGTACCTAATTATGTAGCTGAGGCAAAAAAAAATATGGAGGGAGTATAAAGTATTCCCCAAAGGCACATCTTTTACACTGCCAGACATCTGAGTGGCACAAAGTGACTGAAATTAGCCGTACCTAACTGTCTTTATAGGGACATTTCTCTCTGACTTTGACTGAAACTCTGGATTAGGGGTAATTTCTTGCTGGCCAGTAGAGAAAGATTGTGTATTAAGGACAGTGTGTAAACCTACAGTCTCTCAGCAGTTCAGAGGCATTCAGGATCTTGGAGCGCTGCTCTGGGTCGGTGATGTTCAGCTCATTGAGGTGAGACTCCTTCAGTCCTGCAAAGTCCTCCAGGCTCTGGAAACCATGCATGGACAGCAAAGAGCTCAGCTCCTGAAACACAAAAGAACACAAACATTTAGAAGGAGTTATGACGTAAACAATGACAACAAGTCCTGCTGCAGTGCTATCGGAGTGTATCTTACAGTAAGGCCGATGCTGTCCAGCACCTCCTCCAGGGTTTTGGGTTTGGATTTGGTTCGGTGGGTCTTGCTGTTCTGGCGTCTCCTCCTGGCCGGGGGGCTCTCATCAGGGAGCAAGTTGACGTAGATGAACTTAAAGGAGCCCACTTTGTTGTTGAGCTTCCCTGTCCAGGTCCCCACGGGGGGCTTCTCAATTATGTAGATGATGTCTCCTTTCTGTAAGAGAGATGACGTATGAATGCCAGGCTTAGTCATGATGACGTTACCACAGGATACAGATGAAAGGATTAAAAAAAGAAAGACCTTTAGAACAAGAATTGTTCGGTTTTCATTTATTTATCACTATAATTTTAAGTCTTTTTATGTACAAACTCCTTTGAGTTGACTGCTTGATGAACCAACATCTTTCCAAATGTTCACTTACTACTGAAATTATGTTATTTTTTCAAGCAGGCAGTCAGAAATGTGCAATGTAACTTTAAACTCTGCCTTGAAGAGTAATAATCAAAACGACCCGTCTTGCTACACTCGGTTAACAAGCTCCCCAGAGGACAACTGGACGAGACAGCAGAAGAGGCCGAGGGCCAAATCAGAGACATTGAAAAAGACGTCTCCCCCCAACCACCTCCCCAGAGACTAACTTGAAGTTTGAGCGACTCCACATCGTAGGGGCTGGGAGTGAAGTCAGTGTGGACCAGAGCGCGACCACAGAAAGGCCCGGTGTAAGAGATGCCGTTCTCCTCCAGTCTCATGCTGTCCCTCTGGCAGTATCCACTATCCAGGCTCTGTCTGTCGCTACCTGAGATGCACAGATAAGAAGAATGTAAAAAAAAAATGTTTTGTCACTCTTATCCTTTCTTTGTTTTAGTTCTGTTTGGGGGATAATTGTGCTCTAGGTTTTGCCATTACAGTTCTCATAGTGCTTTGGGGGGGATGGGAACAGGAAGTATGATGTTACCATGGAGTCGGTGAGTTTTTTTTAGCCTATATTTGTTAACATGCTGGCAAATTGGCACCATTAAACATATGCCAAATTAGTTTTTAGCAGTTCCTGTCTGGAGAGTACCTATGGATGAACCATCACTGGTTTACTTAGTGATGGTTCTCATACAAGTTCTGGAGTTATAAGGAGTGTCTTTTTTCCATTATTTCTAAGTTGGTTAATGGACGTTAATTTATTTATAGACATTGGAAATAATAATATTTTTGGGAAGTGTTAGTCATAGTGAATCAACACATGTACACTTACTGCCAGAGAGCTGGCGGGTGATGGGGCTGGGCGTGGTGTCCTCTGACCCTGTGGAGCACACGGATGTCCTCTGTCCTGCACTCAGATCTGGAATCCAGTCACCGGAGACTGGAGACAGCTCTTCACCGCTCTCACCCTGGAGACAGGGCAGGTCAGAGGTCAGGTCAATACACCATCCGTTCACTCAGTTAATAATGTTGAATGGAAACTGAAGGTCACATGATGGAGACGCTTTACTTGCTTTACTCGGAAATATCGTTTCTTTAAACAACAGTGATTTTGTGCAGTGAAAGGTTATCAGAAGTCAAAAATATAGGAAAATTAATTAGTTAAAAAACATAATAAGCCTGTGAATGGTAAATAAAAAAGCAAAATACATTTTTAATTTATCAACTAACTGGTAGTAGTGAGGGAAAAAGTTTTTTGCTTTTTTACCAACTTATTGGAAGTTAAATGACAAGTAGATTTGTTTTTACACTGCATTTCGTTCTATTTTTGACATTTGACTACATTTTGTCAGTAATCTGGGCTCCATAATTTAACTTCTCCCTTTAGGAAAGGCACTATTGTAAGAACTGAACATGACATGCGTCAGACGTCACTGAACATCAGCAGTGGTGAGACAAGTATTCAAGTTCTTTGCTTTGTTTTAAGCTTCGTTAAAGTAACCAGTATCTGTAAGTAAATAAAAGTAAATAATAAATAGTGTTAAATGGCATGAAAGTACTCAAGTAAACATAAGTGCCTAATAGTTACTAGAAAAAATACTTTGTTACTGTTCAAATAAATCTACTGAGACATTCTGCCTTTGTTATTAAAAACACAATACATGCATTTGTCCACTAGGTGGAGATAATTTCAATGTTTTTGTAACAACAACAGCTCCATATGTCTAAATGTGTTTTTGTATCAGAAATGCTTTATAGTTCTTTATAGTTATCATAGATATACTAGGTATAGATATAGATATAGATACATATATGGATATACTATCAAGTTTTTTAACTATCTTATACAATTCGGTGATCTTCATATGTTGTCAGGCTACTGAAAGTGTGACTATAAACAGGATTTACCCCTTCTTCAGCCAGAGCCTTCTGCACCATCTTGGATGTTTTGCGGGTCATGGTACGTGAGATGACGTTGCGCCATTTCTTTCCCAGTTTGCTGCCACTTTTCACTACTTCCTCTGCTGTTACACCCTCTGCCACCTGAGAGAAGAGTTAAAAAAAATTCACTAATTTGTTGACAGATGTGAGAAGTTGAGACGATATGTGGCACAACCTTATTCAAATGAAGTAAAGTTAGGTCTGACTGAGTTGAGCTAAAACTATACCACTGACATAAATTAACTCTCACAGTGGTTCACAGTGGCATCGCTGTATTCACTTCTCACAAACTAGAAACCTGTGGGTGGTGAGGTTTGCATGCTGGTAATACCCACAAAGTAACACGCACAACACACACACACGCACGCACACACCTGCACTCTATTGTGGCCAGGTGCTTTAGAAACACAGTTTCTGAGAGCGTTACAAAACATAACTCTGCAGCCAAACAGGGTGGGCTCAGTAATGAAAGCTAATGATGTTTCCAGTATTTTTATGAGGCACTTCATTAAAACAAATGTACTGTGAGACACTTTGGGTTGGGTGAGGACACAGGGGTCGAGTCCCTTCTAATTTAAAGTTAAAGAAAATTTAAAATAAAGCAGAAATGCTGGCTGGTTTATAATAGCTGTTTCTCACAGTGCTCTAGTCTAAACTCTCACGTCTAACCTAACATTACACAAAACTATCTTGTGTTTAGACTTCCTTGATGAAGCACTGCAGAGAAGACTGACACGCTTCAGTGTGAAATATGCAGTAAATAACCACACTGACAAACACGCCACTGCCACAGAGACAGTTAGGCCCCTAACAGTTGAATATAGAAGTCCTAATGCTTAACACCGAATAAAACATGCTAAATTCTCTGGGGGAGGACCATCAGACTCCTGGTTAAATGCTTGCTGCTTCTGCAACTGTCTGTCTGACACAGAGGCTCTCCGCTTGGCTGGCTGACACCAGAGGACATCCTGTCTACATGCTGCTGTCATCTGAGCTATGTGCTAACCTTCTCATACTTACTTCCTCTCTTCTTCTGCGCTTCTACACTCACTTGTCCTCCCACTTCCACTCACAGTACAAAGAATCTTACTGGGAAGTTATTAAACTTCTGTGAATTTTAAAATGTTAACATCTGTGCAGCAGTGTGTTAGGAACCACAAGCTGTGCACTTCTGTAAGAGCTATAACTGATAACTGATCATTTCCGCTTGACCTTTGTGCATTTTGTTCTCTTCTGGATGCAGTGTCATTCTGGGGCTGGAAGAAATGGCTACAGCATGACTAATGAGGAACAATGTGATAAAATATCTGTAGGGAACTGTCATTTAGGAACTTAAAACACAAAGAGTGTATATCTACTTCTATTTTTCAAAATAGTGATGTATTATGATGTTTGACTATGTGTTTGTGTGTTTTTATGTTTATGTAGGAGAGGAAGAGTCCAACTTACGGTCTCCTCCAAGGAAAACTCCTTTTCTGACACCACGGGAGAGGTGGGTTTGTGCTTCATAAAATCCTTGAAGCTGCTGGATCTCTGCAGAGTGAGCTGTAAACACACAAAGAATTGCATTTATTTTTAATTTCCCATAATTAGAAAAGCCCAGAGCAACAAAACCAATCTATAACAGCAAAGAGCCAGTAATAACTCTTTTACCACACAAGCCAACAGTGTAAACATGCATGTTTTTATCTCTTCAAATGTGTGACCAGAATGAATCTGCAGAGGGATTTCTCAGAACGAGCAACGGCACACACGTAAAGATAAACTCATGAATCTGGGTCACTAAATTGTACTGTAGCTGCTTCTGAAAAACATTTTTATGAACGCTGGTTGATCAGTTTAGCAGGAAACACAAAGGAAATGATGGTGTGCTGGTTCATGACAGTCCCTGTAATAAATAGTTTGTATTTGTAAGACTTTTAAACTAACCAAAGATTTATGGGAGCTGGAAAATCAAAAAGTTGAATGTATAAAACAACAACGCCAACTCATCTTTACAGTTTAACTCAACACCAATATCTCTAGTCTGAAAAAAAAGGAGAAATGGGAATAAACTTTACAGTTTATAGAAAGTAGTAGTAGACTAATTGTTTGGTCAGTAAAATGTCATAAAGTAGTGAATACTGCCCCTCACAGTTTCCTCACACACCATCTGGTATATATAGTATATAGTATAGTAGTATAGCATATCAGTTGCACATGTTTAAAATAAAGACTTATTTCAAACCAAAAGAGTTTTTTGCTCTTTTGCATAATTTTCACATCTTTAGAATTTGTTCCAGCTCTAATGGAAATTCTTCATCTAACTTTCCATAAAACCACATGTCTCTGTGCATAATCTGATCACAGCTCATCCCTCTCGAGTCTTTGCTAAAACCACAGGAAATGGGCACAGCTTGAGCAACTGCTGGCAGCCAATCATTGCAGACATCCAGACAGTGCTGATGATTCTTGTCTGCGTCTACCCTGAAGGATCAAACCACCAGTGCAGTCAAAAGAACAAATGACCTTTATTATGAGGTTATTGCACATTTTTGAATGTCTGTTTTTCCTGCCGCAGTTCCCCTCTCTAAGAAGCCACAAAGCTTTCAGATGAATCAATCTTCTATTACCGCTGATAATCGCAGAGCAGTGACTCGTGTCGTTGAACAATGATGTTCTCCAGCCTCGATTATTGCCGGTGACAATTATGTGCTAGGAGCTGATTGCTGAGAACAAAGTCAATGAGATGTGTGATGATGAGGCGTGAATTAGACCACAGGAGGGGAGATGTGGATGGAAAATAAGGGCACTGGTGTCAGGCGTAGGAGGATCATTCTCATGGTGGCAGCTGGAGACGAAAGCACCAGAAGCCACAAAGCCTGCTGTGACTCAAACTACATCTGCAGCAATGATTCACCCTGCCAGAATAGAGGAACTTTACTCTTCTAAAAAAGTACAAAGAATAAGATGAGGCCAGGGAGCAGTTAGACTAGACACTCAGAAACGTTCTGTTTTAAACATAAAGATCGTACTGGGCTTTAAGTTTTTTGTGTGTGTGGGTTTGTTCAGCTTCACCACAAACGTTTGCACTAACTTGAGCAGACATCCTGTGTTGAAAAGATGTGCACACAAAGACAGCTGTACCAAAAAGTTGTAGCACAAACATCCAGTGTGTGACAAAGACCTCTTAGCAACCACAGTCTATAATATTTACATTTGTAAAAGCTCAGTTTGAGCACATTAACTTTCCTCACCCTCCAAAGCAAAACAAAAAGTGACCAAAAACTCACCTTCTTCTTCTGCACCTGCTCCTTCTCCGAGGCATTGGAGGGCCTTCGCCTCAACATCGTCTTCTTCGTCAGTGGTCCGGAGATCTCTCTGGACAAAAACGGTTTTAATCAGAGAGGGTTTCTGTCACTGTGCTGTCACCGCCAAAGTTGCCAGATACAAACAGAGGAAGGTAGAGCTGCACTCTGCTGCAGTCGAATGAAATTCAGAGGCTGAGAGGAAGTCACATGGCCACACAGAAACTTGAAAAAGGCAAACCCTGTTTTAGGTGCTCGGGTTTACACACAGGCTTTCTGTGGCTTTTACTTGCATGTATTTGTCAGGCTTGTGTGCTACAAACTATCTGTGTGGCTCTGACACACTCAAAACAGTCCATGAAAATGTCACAATCACTGTAGGCTGATAAAGGTTAGAAAGAAAGTGTGTGAATTTTGGTTGTTAAAGGTCATTTTTTAATGTGATCAAATAATCAACTTCTGGTTACTTTACTATATTTAACATGTATAGTTTAGTAAAAAACTGTAAATGAGGATCATAAGCAAGGAGCAGTCGTTTTAAAAACAAGTCATATCTTACTGCAGTGTCACCGTTGTGGTGAAGAGCAAGAAAACATCTTGCAGCCACCGTATTACAACATTTCTACTCCTACAGACATCAGTTTTCAACTTCAGTAGAATGCTGAAGAAGTCAATTTGCTGGCAGGAAAGATCATTATAATAACAAACAGCTAATTTTTATACTTGTTCATGATGTCCAGGCCATCAACTTGTTGTTCAGCTACTGTCCTCAGATGAGCACTTATTTGTCATAGTGTGGAAGTGAAAGAAATCTAACGATGACATATTTAGAAACTCCGGCTTTGCAGCTGCAGCAGGAGGCTGTTGCAGCTACAGGAGTCAGTCCAGCTACAGTCCAGCTCATCCAGCAGAGGATATTTATACAAAAGTAGTTTATGAGAGAAATGAACTGCAAAGCCAGACTCATGCTGACACTGTAAAAACATCCAAATGAGAAAATTAAGATAAAAACAACTTGAGTGAGTCACAGAAATGTGCGTGCATTTGAATGTACACTCATCTTGCAGGACAAGACAAACATTGCTAGTAAGGGAAGTATAATGTAAGTCAAGTTAGCTTGTTATTTTGGTGGAGTAGCAAACCTCATGACAAGAGGATGCTCTATTTTAGTTTCCTGTCACTGACTGAACCCTCTAACCCTCTGTCTGCAGATCTTAAAGGGACAAAAACAACAAGGAGCAGATACGATTCTGATTAACCTGGAGGTTACCTGAACAGACAGTGACAGAGACATACTACAATAATAAAAGTAGTGCATTAAAAATATTACTAAAGTAAATGTACATAAATATTATCCGACCAATAAAGTATCAAAGGTAAAAGTACTCCTCATGCAGAATGTTAAAATGTTGCTGGATAATATATTTTTATATTATTATTACTAACACATTTATGTTTAAGCAGTGTTCTGGTGTTGTAGTTCATTAATGTGGACCATATATCTAATTTACATACTGTTGGGTAACTTAATCTATAACAATTTACCATATTTTATGAACCATTATATGTTTTAAATGTAAAATTGTTATCTGCAAAGTAACAACTAACTATAGTGAAGTAAAAAGTACAATATTTCTGTCT